TAGACACACCCTGAAACTCAGCTATTCCTGTATGCCTAACGTTAAATCCACAAGCAATGATACTCAACCCGACCAGCAACAAAAAGAATGTAACTGCAGACAAAAACCCAATTGCCCTCTCGATGGAAAATGCCTACAGAACAACGTAATCTACCAAGCCACAGTAACAACAGAAACATCAACAGACACCTACATAGGACTAGCAACAAACGTTCTCAAACTCATGAATATTTAATGAGGAGAAAACAAAGCAAATCACTACTGTGACGGTGGTTTGGAAATGTGTTCTTTAAAATTTGCATTAAATTTCGTAAACTTTTTCTTTGATTTTCTCCAAGAAATATTCATTAGTTTGAGAAGTAATATCAAACACTCGGCTGCGCCTCGCTTTTTCAACTCACTTTTCGGTGTTTGGAAATCGGAGGAAGAACTCTCTCGCGTGCTTGAAATATTACTTAAAGAACGCTACAGGAACCATATGTCATCCTTTAAACTCAGCAAAAATAGAAACTCAACAGAACTGTCAAAGCACATATGGAACCTAAAAGACGAGAATAGGGACTTTGATATTAAATGGAAGATTATTAAAAAATGTAAACCTTATGATAATGTTAACAAAAAATGTAACCTATGTTTAAGCGAAAAATTCATCATGATTTGTAAAAATCACCTATGTACACTTAACAAACGCAACGAATTAGCAAGTCTGTGCCCCCATCGTAATAGATACACACTTAAGAAATTTAGACCATAATGTCACGCAATTGTAATTTAAAACGAATAGATTTTAAAATGCTAGATATATATATAAATATGATTTCGCTGTCCAACCCGTTCCGAAAACGCTCGACATCTTTTAGTGTGAGTCTACCGCGAACGATGTGTGGGTTTGAGCGCAGAAGACAGCAAAATTAGAGCCATTACTTGCAAATTTCAGTACTCATGGGTTCTGCAAACGCACGTGCACACAGTGCCATACGTCAGACCGATACCCTAAGCACATGCTCAGTTGATATAAGCGAAGTACGCATGCGTGTTTGATGTCCCAGGCGTTAAGTGCGCATGCCTGCTTTTTGTGGACGAACATAGAAAATACGACGAATAATAACGGGCGTTTTATAATTCGGGACTTCCTTCGGAAAGAAGCCCGAGCAAAAAATGGGGTTCCCCGAA